TCTTCAGCTGGAGAGGCACATGGTAGAGCTGGCAACACAAAAGGGAAATGGAGATGTCTGCCGGATCTGCAGGAGGAAACACAGCTATCCCCAGAATCCCAGCTCCTCTTGGATGTTGGACAAAAAGCCCTTCTCCCTCCTGCAAGGTCCTTCCTCTTGTATGGAGAATTCTGTGAAACAAAACCCTGAGGAGTTCAAGAGTTACATGCCCATCACTTCATGAAGATGCATCCAAGAAAGGACTGGACAAGTCATTCAGCTGAAGAATGACTTCATTGCAACAATTACCAAATCCCTATCAATTCTGTTTTTAAAACTGGTTATTGCAGCAACTTACACATAAGTGAAAAGAGAAATTTAGAACTATTTTGCAATATTATTTTTTCTAATAAAACAGCTCTGAGGTAGATTTGTACTCTCATACATTAAATCCTAAAAAAAATGAATTCCAATGCACACAGCTAATAGTAGATGCATTCAGAATTGCTCTGTTCTGCAAGTATGAAAGGTAAACTATCTAAATACTGTAAGTTTAGTTATGGAGGATGACCCAATGATGTGCTTTAGCAGCATTATGGGTGAGCAGTGAAACAAACATGTTTTGCCACAGACTTCTGCAGAGGCAGGCTCAGGGAAAACTAGAGAGAGTAGGAAAGTAAGAGATAAGACGGGGTGGTGAAAGGCAAAAGTTGGTATCAGTGAGATCTGCTGCTGAGTATGCCCCTTATTTGTTACTTTGCAAATACAATGGAGATGCAAAAACAGGCTGGAAAATTCCTCTGAGGAGAAAAATCTATACCCTTATATACCCCTCTCCAGTATCTTCTTTAGCAATCTTGCCTTTGGTTTCAGTGTAATATGAACAGACCTATCTACTTACAAAAGCTCCCCTCTTCCCACCAGCCTTGTTTGTTATTTTATGTGTTTCTGCATCATTTGCAGAGTTTGCTTTGATCTACATTCCTCCTGGATGTGCGGTTTCCTTTTCAGCTACCAAAAGGAAAACTGTTTGGTTTGAGAATTTTGAAGCTTATTTTGTAGCTCCGCTGGCCCAAAATACCTATTTTTAATCCAAATGAACACAACTCAGTGCTTTCAGCTCTTCAGCACTGGTTGCCTTCCTTTCAGGAAAAATCTCTTTGAACAATAAGTGACCACTTCATACTCTAATAAAATGTCCAAACTGTAATACCAGCTGGCATAAATGAGAGCATTCTCTTTGTTACAGCTGGGTTTGAATATTGACACTCATACATAATTTGATCCTTGAATTGCTTTCATTTTAGCATCCTCCTGAAATGTTCAATATTTTGCTTCACATCTGATACACATTAATGTATACCATGCTGCTCTAAAACATCATCAGAGCAGGTAATTTGGAATTCTCTCAATATTTCTTTATTACAGACTCAATCTGTCTTCTACCACCGGCAGAATTCCTGCAGCCTCCAAGGTTTGACTGGACTTTGGTGCAGTTGCAAAATGACTGCAAATCCCTCTGCATGGGGTATGTGATGTTGAACGTAAAGTCTGTGCCATTTTAATCCTTCCTCCTTCTCTAACAAGCATCACAATGCGACCACACTAGGAACAGTCCATAGACAAAACACAGTTCATAAATAACAGGTAAACAATCTTCAAATGAGAAGAGAAGCCGGGACACATCCTTGGATTGACTCTTTGACTGGGAAACAGGATATATTCTTCAAGGACCTTGCAGGGATGGTCCCAGAGGACAATCAGAGATTAGATCTTCTCTTCTTTGGGGTTAGGCCACAGGAGTTAACTTGGGAAACAATTCACATAAACAAAGTGCTAGCAAGAGGAAGGGGACTGTCAGATTCTGCTTCTGTGTCTTTACTAGACACGGGCCTTCATGTCAAGCTACGCATTAAGAACTTGGCTTCAAATGGTAACAGAGCATTAACTGACATCACCAGTACTAGAAAGAAGCAACCCCCTGAGATTCTGGAGATTAATTACCTATTTTGGGAAGATTCTTAATGAGATAGCACAGAATTAGAGTATCCTGATCCAAAAGTAAGTAAGTAAAATGTGCTTAGTATCACTCGGCGGATACTGAGCTCCTTCCAGAAGAGCAAGTGCAGAACCTTGGAGAGTCATGCTCTTTTCATTTGCAGCCTGGTCTATTATATGCAGTAAAGGGCAGAATTCCTCTCTATGAATAATTTCTGTTTTAAGAAAAGATTGGTGAGGAAAATTTGTATTTGAGTGCCTGTGGGCACATAAGCAGTGGGGGAAAGCATTCCTACTTTGCAAGAAGAAAAAGATTCCTCATAAAAACACAGCCACACCCATTTTACCAGAGTAAATATTAAGAAAACTGTTACCAGGGAAAAGTAACTGAAATATCTGAGAATAACTTTCCTTTTTTATACAAATATATATGTGTGTGTGTGTGTGTGTGTGTGTGTGTGTGTATTTATACATAAGGAGAAAAAAGCATATACATGGAATAATGTGTATGTCCATCCTTGTAAGTCTATATGAATTATGAAGAAGCTTTGCTGGAATAGGAGACACATATATGGGACTTGTAAAGTGCTCTGTATTTAATCTAAAATTAAGCAAATGGAAGCTGTTTCCTGCTAGGTGTATGTGGATGAGGTTATTGCAGATTCTAATGTGAAACATATCATGGGAGAAAATTATCACTTGCACCCAAAAGCAATGTCAACGGACAATCCAAGAAAACACATGGTTTCTTTTCTTTTTAATTAAAAGTAACTAGAAACCTATATAAATTGTAAATCTCAGATAAATAAGCTAAAGGCAGGAAACACCCTGTATCCCAGCTGGCAATGCATTACAAAAGCAGCACATCAGGGTCACTCCAAAGCAGAGCCCCAGAGCAGAGCCTGCCTCAGCTGTGCTGCCTGCCATCTTCTGCATTGTCAGGACCACAGCTTGCATCATTAAGACTTGAAACTGATCCACTTCAGTGATTAGGCTGATCCAAGGACATGGACAGAAGAGCAGGATTTAATGGGCAGGCAGGCAGGAAAAGTCTTTTAACACTTTAGAAAACATTGACTTGGTGGAAGGAATTGGCTAGCTCAAGGGATTAGTAATGAGATACTGAGCCCCTTAGCTCTAGGTCACCACACTGAATCTGGTCCAGGTCAGTAGAAATCAAAAGCTGTTGCTGTTCAGTGGCCTTCGGGAATCAGTTGGTGGTCCCACCCCAGCCACCTCTGGCAAATTATCAGTACCAACACTAATGATAACAGTTGGCAGCACTTACAGGAAAGGTTTGGGACTGGCACAGTACAGGAAAAGTCTGAGCAGAGGAAAATGTCCCTGAAAACACACTAGGCTGTGACTCAAGAAAAATGAGAAAACATGCTCTCTCACGTTCTACAGATTTTCAGTGTGTCTTGGGGCATGAAATTGAGGATCCTGCTAAAGAAAACTTTATTTCCTCATTGCAATGGTCTTCACAAGGCATTTAAGGCCTCAACATCTCTGAAGCTCAGACCCCAACTTTTAAAACATGAATATTTATCTTACAGTGCTTCTGCAGGGAGATCCTAAGTAAAGGGGAGATACAAAACTAAACAAAAAAACCAAGAGAGAGGAGCAAATCCTTTCCAAGTAAAATCAGCTCCCCTACCTTGAAAGCAAGGCATTTGCTGCGTATGCTCCCATTCACAAAGCTCTGCTCTTCCGGTGCTTTAAAAAAAGGAAAAAACCAAATTCCCCTTATAGCAAAGAGTACCCCCAAAAGAGAACCCCAAATTTCCACTGCTACCCAGCAGAGCCACATCAAAGAATCCAGCTGCTCCCAGCTTTTATCCCACCAATGATGAAATTCTAATGTGTTGCGCAGGAGGTCAAATAGATTATCATAATAGCCCCTCTGGCCTTAAAAACTATGAAATTGGAGAGTGAATCACAAGACATCAGTCACCATTGAAGGCAGGATGGTAGGCGGCAGGGCTCAGTGATAGGGTGTGATATGGCAGAGTAAATCCAATGTTCTTAGGCCCTTGAAGCTGGGAAACTGACATTTTGCCTTCTTTGTTGCCCCTTTGGGACACGGAGAGAGATGCAGGTTATTATAATAATAAGCCCAGTCTGCTGTCAATGCAGCCTAAGAATATTGCCTCTTACAGGAGTGAGTGCGTGAAGGATTGAGAAACACTAGTTATTTTCAAACTGGATTAAGTCTTTCAAAAGCTAATAGGTTTCCAATGAGCTGTGGTGTTGCTGCTGCAGCTGCTCTAATTTGAGAATAAAAGAATGCAGGCTTTGTGCCTAGGGACCTGTTATTGATCTGAGCAAGAAGGATGGGAAGGAAGGGGGTAGAGGAGGGTTATCCTCCTTTCAGCTAGGGCAGGGGCGTTCTTTTCAAAGTCACATTATCTGCTAGTAACAACAAAACCTAACCCCATGACATGCTGCTCTATACAGGATTGCACTTGTTGAGAACTAAAAGCATCAGAGAAGAAAACCTCCACTGGCAACCTCGGGCAGCAAACTTCATTGAGGGCCCACGAGACTCAACAGATGGGTCTCGAGACTCCCTCATTAGGAAACGTGCCTGTCCCTTTGCATCTGCTGCCCCGCTCCATGCCACGCACTCATTAGCATTGCAGGCTCACAGATTCCTTAGCACGTGCTTCCAATAAATATTGGAGAGAAAGGAGGGGACGGAAGCCACAGCTCGGAGCAGCAAGATGAGGGGTCACTCACTAGGCTGGGAAATCCTTACACACAAACACTGCCCTGCAGCCCCAGAGAGGGGAGGACAATAAAAGGCAGCCAACCACAAATGTGCAGTTAAAGGGACAGGTGTGGAATTGCTTCCATTCAAGTTGTGGCAGATCCTCATTCGTTCCTCTCTGCCACAGTAAATAAAAATCATCATTATATATAGGAAAAACCCCAACAATTCAGGGCAACACACAGACTGTGGATCTGTGAGTCTGTGGCCCCTTTCAGACAGAAAGCTGGAGCACACTGGGGAATGACATTACCTTCAAATAAATTAATTGGTTTTAAGGGTCCAATTCCACAGCCAGGCTCTTTTTCTTTCAGGTCTTCACCAACCCATCTTGCTACCACTGTGCCACAAATCAGGGACGTCCTTCACCACACCTGGAGTGGTCCAAGACTCAGGGCTGAGATCAGGAGCATTTGAAGAGAAAATTGTCTCCTGTGTGTTTGAAAATGTGAGACAAAACAGCTGTCAGGGAGGCAGGAATGGAAAACCTCCCAGGTACTGTGGAAAGAGCAAAAACAAACCTTTAACCAGAGAGACAGGATGACAGGGAGCTGTATCTTACTCAGACTCCCAAGAATAAGACCCTTTATTTGCCACCTCTCCCTGATGTCCCTAGACTATTCTTATTCCAGTCCTTCTCATTTGCTCTATTTTCCACTATCCTGCTGGAAGCTGCAGGCATTTTGACCACGGAGTGGGACTGGAAGAGTCTCAAGTGATGAACGGTGGGAGTTGATACTAGTCTTGTCCAAAATGCAGTTTTCAACACCAAAACTCCCAAATCAGTGTAGACTCCGATTCTTCCAAGTGCTGCTGGCTCTAACACCCAGTCCTGTCAGATCCCTCATTGCATGATCAGTGACAGAAAAGTCCTCAATGTACATCTGCAGGTAGTAGCACTGCTGTGACCTGCAGAATGGTCAAGAGACTCTTCTCATTCTTGTATAAAGGATTACCATAAAGAAAGACATTTTTTCTCTCCTTTAGGGCCTTGCCTTTATCTGTGCTACCAAGGACACCAGCCACCTGCTGTGGCCTGTGCTTTAAAAACATTTAGCTGATGCAAAAAGGTTCCTTCCACCAGGGAGTCAGCAGTGCCAAGGGACCATGTCAAACCAGGCCACTGTGCACATCCCTAACCCCCTGAAGAAAGGGTTTCCCCTGTAGATCATCAGCATCACTCCCATACACTGAACTTTGTGGCCCAACTCACTGGCCACTCCAGCAAGTTCCTTAAACATATCCCTAACTTAAAGTTTTTGTTTCTTGATTTAGGCACATCTCTATTTTGGCCTGAATTTTGATTTTAGAAATATTAATGTCTTTAAAAGTTTCTTCAGGCCAAATGAAGCAACTCCCTTTACACCCCCCACACAGGAATAAGTCCAGGCCCAGAATATTAGATCAGCCAGGGAGTGATGGCTGGCAAAAGCCAGAAGTCACTTACTGTACACTCAAATTTAAATCTGCTCATCATAGCTCTCTTCTTTTTAGACATTTTCTCAGCTAAATGACACCCCTGTGTACTTCAGTCTTGCACCCTCAGGATAATTTGTGATTGAGAATGTATTGAACACGTACTTTCATATGCAATTAACAATGAAAACAATCTGCATGAGAAGAGAAGCTCAGGCATTTTGATGCTGTCATAGCAAGAAAATGAAAATTGAGCTGCTTATCAAATGAAAGTGTCATCTTGTCTGTGACAGACGTGCCAGCACTGCTCAGTGTCACAGTCTTTGCACCTACTGCAAGCTGCTCCACCTTGATAAGCTGTACCTCTACCCAGATCTAAAACCGTAGTCTCAGCTCTTCCCTGCTTTTAGAGAGCAGGGATTTGAGATCAAATCACTGCTGCACAGGAATCCAACCCCTGGGGAGGAGAAGTGAAGGACAAAGCAGTTGGGATCACAGGTTAATGTGGAGGCATCTGATCCTCAAAGGGTTAACAGAGAAACAACCAAAGAGGTTTTATGTGCATATAAATAAAGGAAACTGAAGGAGAAACAGCAGTATTCTCTGGAATGGAGTAAGGTCTCAATTTTAAACTGTGACAGAAAGCAATAATGTTATGGATTCACTTAATTACAGCTGGATAAAACATAAAGGCTCTACAATAGACGTATTTTTGGGTACTACAGCTTTAACTCTTTCAAGGACTTTACTGGTTCTCACTGCAGTAATTTCTGAGTACCCCAGAATTATTTTATTATTATTATTATTTTTCTTTTATTGTTCTTGGAGTATCCTCTGAAGTAGATTTAGTGACGCACTTTCATTCCGGGGAATGCAAAATTTCTAACATGCAGAAAAACTAAGGTGGGAATTTCAAAGTGACAAAATGCACGTGCACAATAAACACAGCACAGCTTTGAAATTTTAGTTCTCTTAAGCAGCACACCCCAGGGAAAGGGGAAAGTAAGTGCTTGTGGCCACAAACCAGATTTGGGGCTCTGGTTACCAGAGCATCTTCTTCTCCAGAATCTTTTGTCACATTTGGAAAGCTTGCCTGAAGACACAGCTTTAAGAAATAGCCTGACTGGGAAGAAGTGAAGGTTTCATGGAAGTAGGGATGCAATCTCCAGTGCTGGGTAAACTGTGCTCTTTCTCCTAACCTCTGCCACTTGCTCAACTTTCTCATCAGTGGTAGTTTTCTCCCCTGCTCCATTTGTGAAATAGTCTAACACTGGGTGTGGCTGCCCCACAAAACACTTCCTAATTAGTTTCTAAACATTAAATGATTATGGAAGCGCAATTCCCATTCCACTCAGGTGATGAAAAGCTTTACAGGAGTTCAGTCTCACTTTGTAATTAGAGAAATTAGCTTTCTAAGTTTAGATCACTCAACTGTGCAAATGGGTTCATCTGCTGGAATGTGTTGCTCCAAAATGTGTGTCAGCCAAGCAGCACGGCGCGGTCCCTATCTCTGCTCCGCGACACTCGCCCAAGTGGGCAGGTCACTTCCAGAACAGCAAGAGGAAAATGAAGTGTTGTGGGTGTATTATAGGAAAGGCCTTATCTAAAAGCTCACTCATCCGTGATTGACTGTGGCGATACGTCCTTCTCCTTGCAACAGGGAAGCTTAACTCCTAGATAAAGGATTATCCGAGTGGATGAAATTTCACTCTTCCACTCAGCTTGTCCAGGCTTATATCTAAAACTGCAGCAAATTTATTTTATTGGCTAATTTCGAGGAGTAAAACTACTTTTATAAAAACCTGGAGGAACAAAGGGCTCCTTTAGCCTCTTCGTTTGCTGTGAAAAGAGGTCATTGAGCTTTATGAATTCTTTATGACCACAGATTCCACATGTCAACAGATTCTTTTCTGGTAGTCCTTTAACTGGTTTATTGAAGGCTGATGCAGCATCAGTCCCCTACGATTATGCAACACTCTTGATCTGCATTACAGTAGTAAACACAAGTTTAGTCACCGACTTAAAAATGAGATGCATCAGGTCCCTGAACGAAGAACTTTTCCAGGGGCGCCATTCCAAGCTTACCTTCAGGTATCACAAATCTAAGGAAATCCTGTGGGATTGTTCACAGCCATGGCTCAGTGAGTCACAGAGCTTTAAAAGGAAATTACAACTTTCCTCACACAAAGAATTGACTTCACGACACCTGACCCTCATAAGCCAGACACTCCCTCTAAAGGCTGTGATCCTCGTCCCACCGAAGTCCTGGGCAATCTCCCAGTGGCTTCAATGAACAGCTCTATAATTAGGGAGCTGATTCAAGCCCAAAGCAAGGCACAGCCTGTAATGCTGGACTTTGGCACACTCGATGTCTGTAACGGCTTCTAATGTGGATGTGATCTAATTATGTCGGAATAGGACGATTAGCAGGAAGTAACTTTACGCAATGTAAAAAGCCCAGTGCCAGATGCTGAAAAGTTCTTCACCAGCCACAGAGGAAGACACGTCAGCTCCACACCTCGTGAGACGTGCAGGCAGAGCCTTGCAGCAGGGATTTTATGTGCACCAGTCTCAGGCTGCTCAAAGCAACTGCAGCTCAGGCCCCCGTGTACACGCAGCAGCTTGCACGTTGCTGTATCCGTAGTGCATCTCCAAAAGATGCTCGGGCTGCAGGCAGTGCACTCAGCTGGTTTTCAGTACTGCTGTGCAGTGGCTCAAGATCTGGCTTTGACAGCCCAGAGAAAAAGAGCAAGAGATGGGACTTCAATGGGGAAATTCTAGACTAAATTAGTTGAGAGGGATTTTACTGCTGACTTCTATGAGGTCAAAATTTCTTTCAGGGCTGCAAGGGAGAGGTTTGCAATGTGCTTCTGCACATGATTCATGCTCTGCCTTGCTTTACTTATCACTAATACTCTCCATCTCAAGACACTGGGAGACTTAATTCATTAATGCTTGCAAAGCATTTTAAGTTGTTGGACAAGTAATTCTGTTTGAAGGCAGCTACACTGCTGAGTCACAAGCACTGTGGGAAAGAGAACTCTGGATTTCCTAAGCACTGGAGTCAAACAGGTGGAGTAACCTTTTACAGAAAGGCCAACTCCAGACCTGCCCTAGAGGTACGGAGCATACCAGCAGCAGCAGGGTATTTAAAGGCCCAGAGGAGCAGATGTGTGGCACTTGGGAGTGCGTAACATTTAACCAGGCTGTGGAAGCTAACCAACACCCACTGGAAAAGAAAGAAGAGAGGCACTGGTATCACCAAACTGCAGCCATGTCGCAGATTAAACACCACGATGGTTTACCAGCCTTTGGAAAGTTAATAAATCCAATGAGGTACAAGCAATGCTGCTGGAACCCGGGGCTCGAGCAAGGATGGAAGGAGTATTCGGCAACTGTGCACCTCACACATGTGAGGTGCAAAATCGCCAGTGTGGAATCTAAGTTGTGAATTCAGAAATGGGAACAGGATCTGCAGGAATCTGGTGGAAGTCTAAGCGCAGTTCTAAGGTGAGGGGCACAAATACCACCAGCTTTCCAGCCTGGGGCACTCCAGAACGGGACAGACCTCACCACAGCCAAGAACAGGCACGCACTTTGCTTTTGCCATAGGAAATGAAAACAAAGGATATAAAATTAGGTCAGAAATCTTGTTTTCCTCTGTACCACTGACACTGGTGTATAAAATAGACATTCACACATCTACTGCGTTAGATCAGGGTGGAATAGATCAGGACATAAGAATAGCTGTTCTGGGTCAGACCGAACGTCATGTAGGCCAAGTTCCTGTCGCCAGCGCCTCAGGAAGAAAGGGACAGTGATGCAGCGAGTTCCCAGCACAGTCACCCAACTTCTAGACCCGCAGCCCAGGGACTTCCCAAACCAGAGACAAAGTTAGGGGTGGGGTTTTTTGGGGTTTTCTTTTTTTGTTCAAAGCCCTTTGATGTGTGGCTCTTCCTCTGGGAACCAGTCTGAATTTTTTTTACTACTGCGCAAACTTTTGGGCTTCTCACTAAGCCATAGCACGGAGTCCCTTAAATAACCACCTGGCTGTGTGGTTCTCGACCTTGCTCCTGAAAGGATGCGTGGCAGAGCAACCCCAGTACATACTTGAAAACTGGGATGAGCCTGTGCAGCGCGGGGACAGAGTCCCTAAAGGTCTCGGCACTCTGCCAGCCCTGTGATACCGGGATTGATCAGCTGAGGGATCTTTCCTCCCACTTGAAGCGCGGGAGGCCCTCGGCGGCGCGACCTCGTGTTGAGGCGGGCACTACGAGTCGCACGGTGGCGACTGCCACCTCGGCTGCCCTCAGGACAGCCGCTGGCCGGGGCTACCTGCGAGTCCCGGGCCGGCCGTGCCTCCCGTCCCCTCAGAGCGCGCCGAGCGCTCCCGGCAGCGCCCCCACTCCGTCCCGCCTCAGCTATCGAGCGGCGGGAAGGGCGGGCGGCCG